TAGTATGGACAATCGTTTCTCAAACAAAGGAGCAAACCATGATAGAGCTTGCCTTGTAAGTAAGGTTCTCACAAGCCCAACACGTGACTCCTCCGTTGGATAGCGTTCAAGCTATAAAACTGTTATCAACCTGATTTGGTTGACAAATCCTTGAAACTTGGAATGCGTACCATCGAACTTGTCCGAAAGGCTAAATCAGGGCTCCTTATGTTGTAGAACCAGCGGTGCTTGTCGAACCTGAGGCAAAGTTGCTTCTCCAAGTGTAGAAATTTGAGGCTGGTGCAACTTAGATTGTGCCATCCCAGATGCTCCATCATTATGAAGCCTTGCCACAACTCCTTCAATCTCTGCAGTTCTTTGCGATAACGTAGCGAGGGCATCATGATAATTAATTGATATCCAAGAAAATTTTGGAGATTATTTTTTATTTGAAAAATTTAAACTTCTTCAAATTATTTGTAATTTTTTCAATCAAGTAATTTAAAAGTGTATAATTTGTGAATCAAAATCTATAATTAAATTATTAATTATTGAGGTTTCAATTTACTTTAAGATTGGTTAAAAATTTGTTTATAATTTAAGATTTAATTAGAATTCCATTGGAATTTAATTTAGGATTTAGAATTTTTTTTTAATATTTATTTATGATTTAATATTTGATGAAGATTTGATAAATTTTTATTCAAAGTTTTTTTTAGGATTTTATTAAGATTTGATAAGAATTACATTAGAATTTGATTAAAATTTATTTAGGATTTTATTAGGATTTTTTATAATTACATTAAGATTTTATTAGGATTTATTTAGAATTTTGATAAACTTTATTTAAGATTCATTTAAATTTTATTTCTGATTTTAATTTTAATTATATATTTAAAATTTCTATAAAATTTCTAATATTTTTTTAGTATTAATATTTTAAAAATTATGTTTTATTTAATTTTTATAATTTCTTTAAAATTTCTATTAATAACTAAAAGATTTAGAATAAAAACTATTATTTGTTGAGATAATGAATAATATATTGAGATTGTTACAAATTTTAAGATAACATAATAAAGATGAAGATCCTCAAGAATAACATGTTTTGTCTTGAATAGATAGTAAGACACAACATGTTTGATATCACAATCTTGGAAGAAACTTTCAATGTTTGATAATATTATTGGAGGTATGAACCACCTTTGATAGTATTCTAAATGTTTTATTTGAAGAAATTTATAAAGGCCTCAACAATGATCAAATAACAAGTAGTCTTTTTGCCCTGGTATGAGATATTATCAATACCTAAGAAGACCTTTGAACTACCTTTAAAGAAAACAAATATTAAAATATGTAACAAATATAATTTGTTGTATCTTAGTCTTCTTTAACATGTGATCATTACTCATTGTAGAAATTATTTTTAAAAGAAGAGAATAATATTACAAAGATACACATTTATCTTGATTAAAATATTTAAATAGAAATTAATAAAAGTAAGTAAATTTGATGATATCTTATGAAAAAACTTCTTAGAAGCTTTATAGACACAGATTTGACTTTTATGTGTTTAAAAACTTAGCTAACAAATTAGCAACATGCCAAATATATTGGTAACTTGTAGTATAAGTTGGCCATGTAGCACATATATAAAAAATTTGTCTACAAGTTAGATACATGTCCTACAAATTGGACATATGTTAGAGGTCATATAAAATATTTTCATATAATTCCTAATTAAATAGTATATAGAAAGGCACAAGTAAGGTCTTTCTCACAATTGTCAATGCCTTTTTTGTTCTTAGTCTTGTTTCAAGAGTCTCTAGTCTTAATATTGTACTATCTTTGAATAATTATCTACTCATTTTTAGTAACATAAGAGTGTATTGATTCCTTATTTTTTCGTGATTCATATTTTTAATAATTATAAATTATCAATCACTAATACCTTATGTTACTTGAGTTTTAAAAATATTTAAATTTAATCAATCAATTAAGTTCAAAATCACATTACAAATTTGAAACAAAGATGTACATAAATGCAAAAAAAAATCACTTTTATATTACTACAAAATTCACCAAATTACTCAAAATACTAATTCTATTTTATTTTTAAATTTTAAAATAATTTAAATCTAATCCTAACTTTGTATTTTTTTTTTAAATCTATAAAATTATATGAGAAACTTAGATCAAAATTTTTTACTAATATCATTTAAAAAATTTTAAACTTTATAAATCAATTTGTTTATTATTTGTGGAACTTAAAGATAATATAATAGATATTCATATCACTTAAATAAATCAAGAAAAGTAGAGATAAATAAAAACTTATTTAGGAGATTTATAAAAAATTCTCAGAAAAAAATTAGATAATTAGACTTATATAGATATATCACATAGCTATTAAAACTTGTGCCACATATTTTTTACTTTGAAGAAATTATATTGGAAGCAACTTATATTTAGATACTCAGGCCGCAAGCCCTGTAGTTCTTACATAGCTTCTACAAGATTATCTTTATAGCTAATATATATGGAGGCAAGATTAAATCTATATTTAATCTTATTAACACATTTTTTGTATTCCAATAATATTTAAAGACTTTCTAGTCTCTTTGTATTTGACAATAGATATTTTAGTTCTTATAATTTATTTATTTTTAAATTAATTTCTCCTTTCTTTAATAACATATAGGTATATTATTTTCTTAAGATTTAATTATAATTCATGTCCTTGAAAATATTATAATAAATAAATAAACATTTATGTAAAGATACTAATTTTATTTTTAATAAATTTCTCTTTTATATACTGATTAGTATATAGAATTATTAAAAATCGTATAAATTATATGATAAATAGATCTATTTAATAATTTTTTATTTTAATTAATAAAAAAAATTATTTTTTAATAAAAAAACCAATCTTTTTATAAAAATATATAAAATAAAATATTAAGCAATACATCTGCTATTTTCAATCCTAATTTCTTGCAAAGGTTGATAAGTCATATCTAAGATGGTATAAATTATCACTGTATATGGAAGAAAAGTATACCCTGAAAAAGCCGTAAACAAAAAAATCAAGCTAGTCATTTTGGTAAAACTTTCTTCAACATAACAAAATCCAAGGTTTCAACAACATGCCCATAAAAAGTTAACAAAAGATTAAGACTGATTTTAGGTGGAATGAAACATGGCACTTTTAAATGAATCTCTTCACAATTCTAAAGAATAACCTAAGTGACTATGCCAACTTTTTATGCACTTTTCATTATTTTTTATTTTTTATTTTTTTCTATTTTCCATCCACAAATATGCTGTATAAACTTTTTCAATTCAAACACAAATTTCCTTTCTAAGTTTCTAGTTCAGTTTGGTTGATTCTCTCCTTTAAGTATTATAATATTCAACAGATTTACAAAATGATTCTAAAAAGATTAAAATAAAAAAATAATAGTTAATACAAAACACACAAAAGACAAATGCACGTGTAGTTCACATGTACCTTTTACTAAATATTGTAATCTTTTTTTTATCCTTCAAGGATAAGAAAACTTCATATTATTTTTTTTCATACAATATTTGATATAAATTCAAGTAATTTAAATATGATTTGTATCATAATTTTTAATTTATTTTCTTTATTTATTAAATTTTCTTTCATTTTCTTTCTTTAAATTTCAAACCTCCTATTTTCAATTAAATTGCACAAACTTGAAAATTTTGAAACCAACACCTGGAAGGTTCATATACAATCATTACAAGAGAACCCATAATTAACAACTTTACCACATCTATTACATGCACAATTCTAAAGATGCAACAAATAAAATTGCAAACATGCATTAAGTCAAAGAAAATGCACAAAACTACTTGTGGGTGAATTTGTTTTCACAACTGCCTACAAAGAGAAAGGAAAATAAATAAATAGACAAATGAAACTTTGGTCATGAACCATAATTAAATTTTTGGTGTGTATAAATGAAAAATGTGAGTGGCCTAGACGGTACATTAATCAATGAACCCTTAACATCAGTAAAATATGGACATGACAATTCAAAACTTTTTTACAACCCAATTCAAAGAAATGAACTTTAAAAATGTAACTTCAATGAAGTGGATTTTAAATCAAATAAAGTTCAAATCAAATATACTTTTGAGGTCAAATTATGAATATAATGCATAAAGAGATAATACTTATGTATGTATATATATATATAAGTAATTTGGATGTCGTAAGTTGAAATAGAATAATAATTGACATATTAAAGGATTGAAAGGTATTCCATTTTTCATAACATACCTAAAATTTTGAAAAAATATTGTATCTCAAAAATTTCAAATCAAAATTAAACAACTTATGTAGTTCGTATTTTCTTAATGTCAAATTTTCCAAGTGAAAAATTGATAAGTAAATTTTCAAAGTTTTCATAACAACCTAGAAAGGGGAAGTAAATATTGAAATCAGATTCACAATTAGGAATATTTTGAAACATCATGAGTGTTGTGTAATAAAACATAATATTAGTAATTATGAAAACATTGAAATTTAATTCTTCATGTGATACAAGAGTTGGAAACCATATGTTCAGTATTCCGATCAATACAGTCGTAAGAAAGAATCCTCGTTTTTTGACATTCCAATAATTCAATTTGGTAGAAGATTCACTTTGATTCACTTCTTTTCTCTTATTTTAATTTTATTTTGTGACATCAAAGTGGATTAAATCCACTTTAAATAACAACAAAGTGATAATTATACCCCAAATTAAATATCACATAAAAAAAGAGGGATGTTCTTCACTGCATTACTGAATATGTTTGTTTATAAAAACAAATAAGAAATTCGAAGTTTCTTGTAACATTGTCCTTCCATGTGAATTTCAATAAAAAAATCTTTAAACGAATTAGTCAACATTATTGCTTGACATAACAAGCCAAAAAAACCATGTAAATTGATGATATAATAACGATTGTAAGAAATTGTGTAGTAGAAGAGAGCATGCAGCAGATGGCAACTGTTTTTGGTTTTTATTTTTATTTTTTATCCTCTTTTTTTCATAAACCCAGCTGCCATTCCATCGTCCAGTGAAGGAAAAATAGCTGTACCAAAATAAAGAATTAAGCACAGCCATGTTGTTGTTGTTGTTGTTTTGTTGTTATTTTTTATTTTTTTATTTTTTTTCTGAAGCCCACTTGGTACACTGAAACGGAGATCCGGTTTATAAATAAAAAATCATGTCCAGTTGCTTGATAAGAAATAAAACCTCATCGCTTGAATAATCCCCCAGGAACCCACCAAAGGAAACCACCGCCACCTTCGAGAAACCACGGCAAATTAATTGCTTGAGAATTTAAAAACCACCAAGTAAGAGGGCGACATTCCAAAGACCAGGGCTGGAGCCATTCCCAAGGCCTACTAGGGATTCGAATTTTCGAAAAGGGTCCGAGCGCTGATCCGCGTGTGCGAGGCAATGGCAGCGCCAGCGGAATTCCTCGGCGCCGAGACTCCGTTCCTGTGGTTTGCATGGATTGCTTGATGGATTCCAGAGATGCAACAAATTGAGTGAGAGCCATAAATCATCACGCGGGAATGGAATTGGGGTGCGGGGCGTCCCTGTGGTGGCTGGGCTCGTCGCCGTTGGCGAGGGGCGGAGGAGCTTGAGGCTCCTCGAGCGGTGCAGCAGCAGCGGCGGCGTTGTTGTGGGTGCTGCGAGGATCGTGATCTACCTCCAGCGATGTCAAGGCAACGAGCGCCTTCATCTCCTTCTCGCTGTTGGACAGCCGCTCCGTGCACAGCTTGTATTGGAAGACGCCCGTCTGCAGCCTCTTGAGCTGGAACTGGCGGTGCGCGGCTAGTTGCTGGGCACTTGTTAATGACTCTTCCAGTTTCTGAGCTTTGTTTTTCAAGGCGGCGATCGTAACGTTAGCCTTCTCGACCACGCCCTTGAGACTTGCGACTTTCTCCTCCAGCGCCCGACGGCTTTCCTCCGCGCTTTCCAGATCTTCTTTGAGGCGGCGCACGTCGTCTTCGTCCTTGTCTATTGTTGCGATCCGGGAGCTTATTTTGGAGTCCCCCTTGTGGACGGACTCCTCTTTCCGCTCGTTGCGGTCGGAGCTCTGGGGAGACACCGAGCTACGGCCGCTGCGGGATCGGTCTCGGTCTCGTTCCTTGAGCTCTGGGGATTGGTACCTCCCTGCACTGGCAATGGGGCTGCTTCCTCTTCTTGGGCAACTTTCTCTGCCAGCCGGACTGCTGCGCACCGGCGTGGGTGAGCGGCTTCGTTCCGGGGGCGGAGATCGGGTGCGATGGTGAACTCGCTCGCGAAAAGGGGGAGACCCGCGGCGCCGAATTCGTTCCCTCATGTCGCGGGATCTGAAGTCGCGGTCTCGGTCGCGGAACCCTAATCCTTTTAAGTTCTTCCGCACCTCGTTGACGCGAATGGTGCGGCCCTCGATTTGGCCCCCATCCATGTCGCGGATCGCCATTGTTGCCGATCGTGGGTTGGTGAAGGAGACAAACCCGAATCCGCGAGACTCTCCGCTCTCGCGATCGTATACAATCTTTACCGACACAACTTCGCCAAACTCCATGAATGCTTTCTTCACCGTGTCTTCGCTGCTTTCGTATGAAAGCCCTCCCACATACACGGAGTTTGCGTCGTTCATCTCGACGGCGACTCTTACTACCGCCTGCTTCGAAATTGTCGATAGATGTGAGAGTTCGTTGCTGTCACCAAGGAGAATGTCTGCATGCTCAGGAGCAAGGTGAGCAATCGACCATGATTGTCATGACTGTCCAACCGCACAATAAAATGAAACGCAACCCTTCATATCCTTCCTACGACCTTATTCAATAAGCACACATGGTTTCACATTGAGATGGAAACAGGCGGCCACTTCTCCAGCACCGCTAACTGCAATTAGGTCCACTGACTTCGGCTTGCTCTCAGATTTCTTATGTCCTCCTGGAAACTAGTGGGACGCACAGCAATACTGTTTCCACACAACATTTATAGCTTCGAGATCGTAGAGGCAGCATGTAACGATTGGTTGCTTGCGATAAATCAGTAGTTTAAATTGTTAGGATGGTCACTCTGGTCCGCCAATGCCGATTTTCATAATTCTTGTAGACAAGAAGTCCATCGGACTTGCCAAGAATTCGTATTTTAGTTAATACTCACGATACTAAACATCACTCTGGCACAGTTAGTGGTAATAACATGTGCGTCTCTGGTTATTGGCGGTGGAAAGATATCCTTGATCATGATCTCCATTACAATCAACTACTATACATCTTCGGAGTAAATTCGTGTGAGCTTCATAGAATAAGAAGCAGGTCTCTGAAATCAGAAACCTACACAGAAGGGCTCGTAACGACCCTCCTCTCGACGTTTCTCTACTCATCAATCTACTGCATTGCACAGAATCACATTTCCTTCGAAACGACCAACTGAAGCCGCCGCAGCCATTCGTATCACACTTGGCAAGTTAAAAACGAAATCCGTGGTCCACTTCTGAGCACAACCAGAAACGCGAAATCGTTTCTGAAAACAGGCAGCTCCTACACCTCAGCTATCGTCATTGGTGCCAAGACAAATCGCCAAGAGGTTATGGCTTCACAAACTGCCTCGCCCCCTACCACACCGACATAAACGCATCAGCGCACGTCTAACATATACGCGAAAAAGTGACTACAGAATGTACTCGCTCCAAGGGCGTTCCTGGAGGTAATAAATTATATGAAGTGTGAGGGTGGTTAAGCAAGACAGGGTTTCTAACACGAACTTGGGTGGGATCGAACAAGACACATTACTCATCCATCGCCATCGTTGTCAGCGATGTGTTTGATGCGATACTCTCCAATGCATGACGGACGAGGGGTCAAAAGCAATAAATATGTTACATACCTGAGGCACAAATGGGCACGTATAAGCAGACTTGGTGGTGAACCAGACTGCAACCACATGCAACTTCCTCCCGCGACCAAAGCATGGGCGCATTACCAGTCTTTATTAACAAGGAGAGGGTCCACCGGCTGGCGAAGTTGGGTCCGACTCTCGGTACCGGTCGCCACCGTTGCCTTCGCAGACTGGTGAGTGATCTGACCAATTTGGCAGAAGACAATATTCGATACCCGCACTGAAAGTCTACTTTCCACGCCCAAATTTAACTCGACGTGGGCGTGATAACTTCTTTTTGAGCAGTGAACCGAGATTGGACTGCTTTGATGCTTTTGGAGCCGTGAGATTCACTAACCAACCCAATCCAGAGACTCAAAATGGGAGGCGCACAGTTGCAAGTTTGGGATTCTGCATTGTGTTTCGCACGGTCTCGGCTTTTCACGTTGTGGGCTCTTAGGTTTTCTCTGCTTCGCTTCGTCTAGTTCAAAACCTGTTGAGTAGATGAAATATGACGTTTCTCTTCTCTGGTGTAAAACTACTGGGATGTTGAACTTCGAAAAGGTGATTTGAGGAAGAAAAAAACAGGACGATTGTTACACCGAGATGAACATGAAGATATACATCAATTCAAATTCCTACAATGTGGACTTCACGGAATGTTCAAGACGTGTTGGGTCAGGGGAGTGGCTCTTCGTATGCAAAGATTTGAAAGGCTCCCAGTACCTTGCTTCCCCACTTCCCGAACGTCAGTTCGATTGAGCACAACTTTGTTATACTCGAGTGATGAGCTAGACTCCAATTTATGGCAAGAGGGTGTAGGACTGCCCTGGAATAGTGCCGCACATGCAAAGACAGGTTTCAAAGAATCACTTAAAAACTCGTTTTCAACAAAATAAACAGCCCTCACTTCCAGATGTGTTCCATTAACATCCCATGCAGATTATTTCAGCGAATATGTCGGAAGGCTTGGAGCCTAGAAACTTGATCTTAGAAGCCTTAGCGATACAACCCCCACGAATCTTGATTGTGCAATAGTTCCAAAGCGAGGGATTACGTCACATTACTGAGCATCCGGTTATATACTGTACACTTGAATCGTGCATGCTGAAATTTCTTTAAGTTAAGATGCCTTCATGATCACCAAGATTATGGTGGTTCAATAGTCAGGCGCGACTGACGAGAAAAACAACATTACACAGAAAAAAAAAGGTATGCTTGCTTAATCTGTCGACTTTAGTTACATTTGTCGGTAAGAAAGACAGCGCCAAAGATTTCTGCGCTGCAGTTTATGTACATGCGGGTACCTTCTGTTACCAAAATCCTACAGCAGGAATAAATGTGGGAACTACGGACTAGGCCGAAAAATAACAGTACAGTTGCATTTGATGAGGATTACCTCTTAGGAAGGTCATGGATATGATTAAACTCGGGGTCGTGATAATCAGAAAAGTTAAGTTCTTCATCATCCGGAACCTGCATTTTAGATTGTGCATTTCCCCATAAGCTTCTAGGTGGAACATCTTTCGCTCGTCTGGCTAACTCTCTTGCTTTCTGCAGAGTCCCCAAGCACACATCCCCAATTCACATCTGAAGTGTACTGAAGTATCAAAATCCAAAAATGCACTTTTTGTGTAGCTTAGGCTTACTAATAGACAGAGAGTGTAAGGGGCCTTTCAATAAATCTAAGTTCAGAAATCCTTATTTTGTTTCATCTATAAATAGTTCCAAGGTCCAAGGAGTACAGAACGACGATCTCTGTCACAAACGACCGAGGAACCCAGACATCTTGCAACACGTTTATGATGGAGATATGACACTACTTCATCTAGGTATTATGTGGAAAGGATGAAAATCACAGATGGTCAACATTAAATATGTTACGACGGAAGTGCTCACCAGCCAATCGAAGTGGTCTTGCATCGTAAATGTCTGAGGTCCATCATCGATATCGAATTCCTCAGATAGTGAGGCCTGATAGTGTGCTGAACGTCCATCTGACCAGGCATGTGGAAAAGGGTTAGGCATGTTTTCATACGCAATAAACCAAGGAGTTGGGAAATATACTCTTAGCTTCGTCAGCATTCGTGCCTGTGAAATCTTTAAGCACTGACACCCGCACATCCCTGTGTCCATCAATCTTAAACTAATCTTTGCACCACCTTGGTATGAAGTAAATCACAAGCGAGAACTGGAGACTTGTAAAAGTGAAGTTCAGTCCCAGTATCGAGCATAAACAAAGATTGTCACAAGTACTCATTCGCCTCTAACAATTAGGTCAGATAATCGCGAATGTTCAATGTAAACTCCTAAACCAAAGAATAATCGCGGAAAGTTGGAATATCAGGCATTACCAATGCATTCGAAGACCCAGCATATTCCTAAAACTTCGAATGTCATGCTTGCACGATAGAAAAATATTTCACTCCTCGCCCCGAAAATGTGGGGAAGAGTCGAACAGTCGAAAGGTAGCACTTCGGGATATTGAAATACATACGTAACCCGAATCTTATACCACCGACCTCAGCTAAGAATCCAGAAATGAATTGGTGGAACGAAATATTCCGGACGCTACGTAACCCTCTATCTAGACACCCAAGCAACATCTTATCAACGCCTACATGTTCAAAATGAACGCTGTAACTGAGCTGAGATCACCCGAGGCTATCCAAATATCTTGTGCTACTTATGCAGAAAACGAAACGTAAACATTTCTTTGAGCTAATGTGACCATGGACTATGACCCTACTCAACCGCGGCTTACAGCTCAAAAAATCGGGAGCGTGCAGTTGGCACCCTCAGGGTAACTTCTCAGCCTATCGACCCAGCCTCAGTATGAAACCCGAAATAGGGGGAAAAATCAAGATCCAAACCGCATCCTCTCAGTTTAGTTATGCGAGTCTTGCTTCACACAGAGGCTAACGTCCATAGAATCTGTACATGCTCGCAATTTCAACCCCAACAAAACCCAACAAACCCACTACAAACTGGAGAGACATTCCCAAATCTAGCTTCACTCCACTATGGCTCCACACACGACCTAGACTTGTCGTTGCGTAGAACAAATACAAAAGATGGTTTGATGTGAACCCACCCCTGAAGTACACGGCTCGAGAATCTGCCACTGATGTGCAGCACAACAAGCCCAGAATACACATGTAGAACGGCACTAGGAAGAGCGAGCTGGCCATAGCGCCTGGCCAAACATGACGTTTAGCGGAGCGCTGTGTGGTGAGTGAAGCCTGTGCAGCAACGGCAACCCCTCCTCGTCCAAAATCTAAAGCAACAACAACAACTAACAACCAACAACTCTGTCTCCCCGCAGCATATCATTCATTCCATTCCAGCAATATGTGGCCCGAAGAGGGACGACGCCCTCAAGCTAGCACGCCGGCACTGCGGACGGTTCCTTCACCGGCTGAGCCCGTCGCCACATCACCCTACAAATGGTGACCCACCGGGGTTTTCCGGTTGAATTGGCGTCACAGCCCTCTGGTCCCGCGGCCCCCCCCGCAAGGTCATAATTGGTGCAGTCGCCAGTCAGTTGCCCACGTGGGTCAAGTTCGCACGTGGAATGGGTGTCATCTCCTGCAATCGGAACACGACACGTGGACTCACGTTTTCTCTGCCCGCTGGATTCCTCCCCAAAAGCTGTTTTAAAGTTGTGGAAAAAGTTTTGAAAATCAAAAAACGTAAAATATAAAATAGAATAAACGTAAACATAGTTTGACTTGCCACAGCATTACTTCCAAAGGACTCCATACACACACACACACACATACACATATATATATATATATATATATATTCAATAGTCGTATATATTCCTTCATCTCCATCCATTCTAAATTCTTTACAATGTCTAGATGCACACAATCTCTCACACACCTCCATATTTGACTGTCTTTTTAGGTTACTTTGTGATAATATCAGAGGTGGGTTTTGCTGGTTTATAATGGAACTGTTGCTCTCACACGGCTTCTGCAGCTACCTCACCCACTCACTCTGTCAAATGTAGGACAGTCAATCATTCTGTTCCATAGTCCTTCTTTTTATTTATTTATTTTTATATGTATCTTTTGGTTTTGTTTTCTATGACATGTTGACCAAAGCTCATACATGAATGACCAATTTTATCTTCCATAATTATGCCCAGTTTTCAGAGCACCTTGCCACTGAACTGTTAAAGTATTAAAGTATGGGTGGGCTGCGTTGAATTGTCTAGTTAGTATTTGTTAGTGGAATCCCTTAAAGTCCAGTAATCTAGGTGCAACATGATTGCAAAAAGTATTATTAGTATTATTATTATTATTTTAAAATAATATGTAATAAAAATAATAATGTTTGTCAATGGAATCCTTGATTAGTCTTGGTAAAACTCAATTACAAAAGACTTTTTTCTTTTTATTTCTTTCATTTCTTTGAGCTTACATACCTTGGAGATTGAATATACAAATCAATAATTTTATACAAACCTTATTTACAGTAAAGAGTTGAGAAATAACAGTTGTATTATAAATACATGTATATATACACACACACACACACACACACATATATATGCTTCTTGGTATGGAACAAAGTAAATGTCACTTACAAAAGATTAGCTCACAGTCTTTTAAATCCATAACTTGCACATATTTAGATATTAAGCTAAAAAAGATTTAAAATTTATCTGGCAGAATTGTTTCGTTTTTTATTTTTTTTTAAAAAAAATTTCAACTTATTACATTAAAATATTTATAATCAAATTTGACTAAATTTGTTACAAAAATTGATTTAAATTAAGATAATTAGTTAAAAATATAAATAAGCATAAAATAATTATTCATTAAGGAGTAATATAGCTACTTTATAGCACTTAATAAATAATTTATTTTTTAATTCTGTAAAAAAGTATATGCATATACACACAATAAAACTCTAATTTGCACTAAAAAGTTTTAAGGTAAATTTACAATAAAAGTATCCCTAAATAAAACTAAATAATTATTGAAATAAATAAAAGAATTACATGAAATGAGTTGTCACTTTTTATTTTATTTTTTAGAAAAAAGATTTTAAAAAATAATAATTAAAAAAAATTATATAAGATATTGTAAAATATATATATATATATATATATATATATATATATATATATTGTAAATTTATCCTAAATGTTTTAGTAGAAATAAAAGATTTATTGTGTATACATGAGGGTGCATGGCACAAAATGGGGAGGAAGTGTTTATAAAATAATAGAGAAGTATGTACCGAACTGTTTCTAATTCTATTGTATGGTACTTAAATAATATTTCTGTATAATGTAAGAATATAAATATACATGTTTGAATTATTCTTTTTATATCAAATATAACTAAAAAAAACTATGGAAATATATGACATGATGTAAAAAATTATATTTTATGATTTTGGTATGTATTATCTAAAATAATAGAAAAATATATGAATGATATAACTTTCTAATTTTGTGATTTTAAACAAAATTTTAATATTTCAGAAAGTTTAATATTTTTAAAATTTTAATAATTCTAAATATTATTGTGAAGAATATTTTTTAAAATATTTTCAGATGAATAAAAGTAAATAATTACACTATGTCGAATAAGTAATATGTTAACCATTATAGTGCATGAATATATATATATATATATATATATATATATATATATATGCTAATTAAAAAAAACTAAGACATTATATAACTATGATAAATATTATAATAATTCTTCATTTAATATTTTTTTATATGATAAAAAAAATTATATATGAATTTATAATAAGTTACTAATATCTTAGTAATACTTTTATGCTTATAATATAAAACAATCTTACAGCTACACTAAAAAATTATTTTTTTGGAAATACTTTCTAATAGAGATAGTGATTCTTTTAAAAGTTTAAAATATTGAATCGATATAATTAATTAATTAATTGATTAATATACAAATATTTTAATTTTAATAAATTTACCCATTTTTTAATCTTTTAAAAATATATCTATATAAAAAAAATTCTTGGTTATCATACAAGAAAATTTAACTATTAATTTAATTTTTTTTTTATTGATTTTCTTGTATCAATTTTTTTGGTTTTATTATTTTATTAATTTTATATCTTATTTTAAAAAATTACATCTAAAATTATATATATATATATATATATATATATATATATTCCAACCATAGAAAAATAAGTTTTAAAATATAGTTATTTAAGTTTATTTTACATTAAATCTATTTATAATCTTATTCTAATTTATAACTTCTATGTATTATATATTTATATTTAATTTTAATTTTTTTTATATAAATATATATATTTTTATTTTTATTTTATATATTTTTATTTTAAATTTAAGAGTAAAATATTTAATCTTTATTACAAATATTTTTTGGTTTCTTTAAAGCTTTTCAAAGATATACTTTCAATGTATATATTACTTTCTAATATATTTTTTTCTAATTCTTTTTAAATAACATGTTTTTTTAATTTTTGCTGATTTATCAAAAATTAGAAGAAAATTCAACATGTATCATTGGTTGTATATAAAAATCTCTATATACAAAAGATGAAATGTATATATAAAAAGAATCATGTAAAAATGATTATAATTACTTATTGAAACTATCATAAAGGTGATATGCAAAGTAACTATATCATAATAAAAGAATAACTAGTAGCTATAATTATTTATCCAAGAAAAAGATTTTATAGAATTTTTTTGAGTAAAAATCTATAAAAATTCTTAAAAGGGAAAAAAATGGATTTTAAATAATAGTTGCTTAACAAAGTAAAGAAATTGGTTTTAGCTAGGATGTAGAATCTTAGCTCAAGTGGTAATTTAGAGATGAAAGAGAGATATAACACTACCCTTGTACTATTGTTAATAAGGAACAAGCCACTTTTAAGACACCTTATTTATTGTATTTATAACATTTTTATATATCTTATTTTTATGATTTTTGCTTGTAAGCCATTATCATATGAGTATATAGATTTTTTTTATTTTTTATTTTTTATTTTTTATTGTATGAGTATTTTATTTGAGAATATAGATAAGTAAAATACAAGATCTTGCTTACTTTTCTTTAGAACGTAGAAGTGGTATTTGAAAGCTAATTCTATTAATAATCTTTTTTGTAATTAGAAGATAATTCTTTTTAGAAGGCAAGAAGATAAAAGAGCCATCAACTAATTGTTTAGATTTCTTTTTATATTTTTCCAATTATCTTCAAAATCTTATAAATTATTTGTGATTAGTATCTTAAATTTTTCTATTCATACATTTAAATCATTTCTTAAAATTTTAGAGAAGTAATTTGACATGAATTTTTTAAAATTTAGGACAATATTCCTTGAAATTTGAAACAAAGTTATTATGGTGAGATTTTATACTATCCTTTGTATTTGTGCTTAATAAGCTAATAAAATTTGACAAATATTATTGTAAATCTGATCTTAACAAACTTCTTGAGCTAAGAGTATATTTAAAGTTTCTCTTATATCATAATAAGTTTTAAGAACTTATGTAAAACAAATAATCATGTACTAAGATGCTACTAAATTCTTTTCTATTTTTTTATGCATCTATAATTATACTAATAATTTTAATTTTATCAAAGCTTTATCAAAATTTTAAATATCAAACATAAGAAAAAAAATTGAATTTTCTGATATCTTTATATTTTATTTGGTTGGTCTTATCATTTTTTAATTTAATTTAATTTAATTTAATGTTTTTTGTAAAGTATTATCTATGATCACATGATACGGTTTATTTATTTATTTTTCATTATAAAGTTTCTACTATAATTTTATTTTATTAAAAAAAGTGATAAAAATATTATTGTAATCATATAATAAAAAGAAAAAATCTGAAGCAAATTAGAGGATGAAGTTTAATAAAATGAAGTTAATTTTACTCTAAAAATAATCTTCTCACAGAAGTATGTGTAAGAATATATATATATATATATATATATAAATGCATTTTTTTTTGTAGGTTTAAAGCACATTTATATCTTTCTGAAAGCTAAATTATCTATCTTCAATCTTATCACATAACCATTTGCTTGAGAAATTCAATAAAGAACAGTATTTGATGAAATGTTTCTGCACACATGCATGCATTAGCAAAGGTGCCTTTTAATTTCAAATTGAACGTTTATTCAAAAATTTAAAATAAAAATAAAAACAAGAAAACATTCATACAACTGTTGTCAAATAATAACTGAACATCTGATCTTTTCGATTACTCAAAGAAATTATCAAATTCACTCACTCTGATTGATTGCTATGGATCACATAAATATCATATACTAATACATGACCTGCAATCAATCCTTTTATGTTCAGAGCGACAGCTTCTATTATACCAGAATACAGAATCACTAGAAACAGAAACTAGCACAAAATTATACTTGACATCTTTTGAGACTAAAACTGCACGTTGACATAATTTTTCTCACCATAAAACTTGACAAGTCTTATGAGTGACAGCCACATCGACCTAAGCTTTGTCCAACACCGACAGTCAACATGTGAAGGTTTAGATAACACGATTGGTACCTATTGGGTTTCTGATGCTTTATTTCCCTGTAGAAAGTGGAATACTGTTGATGAATGCTCGCCGCAGCACACCGCCCAATTCTGTATCTTCTGTGTCATTGTGTTGCTCAGACAGGATTGTGGTCTTAGTTCAAGCTTAAGTTACGGTGATGAAGGATACTGAATTCCTGCCTGTACGCCTCCGAAGCTTGTGCAAACGAGGAATGACTCGACTACACGCCCAGTTTGTCTTCAATGAGAGCCTCAGTAGGTACTGAATCACTCTGTAAACATAGCAATCCAAATTTCAGGAGTTGTAGGCTCTCACAGTTTCCTGATTAGCTCTGGATGCATGCTACAGATTTCGACGGCTTGGATACAAACTCACAATTATCGACGGATGTTGTGTAGCTTATGAGTCGAGCACCCACCCGATCTGCGACCTTGAGGCATTGTCGTTTGAATAAAAGCTCCATAGACGAGGCTCCCAGTTGTAAGTCGTGACTTCATCGCCAACGACTTGACAGTATGATTCGGCTAACATCGCTATTTGTGAAGGTCCTAGACACGTCATCGTAATTACTGATTGGTCTGAGAACTGCAAACCTAAGATAGAATTGCTATTCTGGTGCCGAGATCTTGCCAAGCCATTGTGGAATGCGAGGAGACTGCGTTCATTGGTAAAAGGACATCTTCTTGTCTTTCAAACCGTGGAGAAAGAAATAATGCTCGCACGCTGTTCTCTCTATAATTGCTCGGATTTGGTGGAGTGGTGGGTAGTGGTAATTTCGTCCGCTTACTGGAAAAATACTCCTCTGGATGTTCAGGCTCAGCATTACACGTTGTTAACATTGGTATTCTGGTCAAGGAGTTGGGAACAGCGATGGCCTGAAGCTTGCAATGAGAATGAGGGTTAGCAGAATCAGCTATTGATGACGATGCAGTCGCATCTAGCATGAAGAATTGTCTTTGAGATGTGACTTCCAGTGAGAACCTCTTCGCCGCTTCGTTGGCAGCGGCTTGTATGCACTTGTCCGATAGGTCGTGTGGACGAGGAAGCGAACTTGCCAGTTTCGGAAAGTTCAAGTGAGCGCTAGATCCTCGCAGACTCAACGCTGCTGCAGAGATTGACCAAGCACAATGACATTCAGGAAAGGTTTTTGTCATCACATCAAAACTGGTGGTCTCTGAAAAGAAAAAAAGTAAATTAATTCCTACTCACTCTTGCCGAAATGCATTGCAACTTCGCAAAACGTTCCAAGACCGCAGCATAGAATCGCCAATGCTTGGAATCATGAGTTAGGGCGATCGAAGTACCCGTGTCGTGGGCTCTTGCGGCCATTTCCGCTGTTTCGAAAGATCCAAGCCATATGCGAGTCTTCTTCGATCTTCGAATTTCGGTCACCCATGTGCCCCAGGGCCTCCTCACACCCCTATATACCGGATGCCGAGAATCCTTCCCGTCTGCAAGCTTCAGCAACATCTTGGATGGCAATGAATCCGATGCAACCATCACCGAAAAACTCCTCAACCCGATGAAGCCTCCATCTGTAAACACGCATGTATCCCCCAACGAGGAAGTCCCACTCTATCACCCGCTCGAAAACGTTGACGTGCTGCATTGTCGTAGCGAGATTCCCGATTGCGTTGATTCAAGGTCAAGCTCGGTAATGAAAAGCTGGTGACGAGAACAAGGAGATAAAACTGTTGCTGAGTGACCTGGATCGTACTTGCCCCGTCACCTTTGCTGAATGATTTCATGGTCTACAAAAGGCGTGTTGCAACTGCCTCTCTGTTGCAAATGATAACTGACTCAGGAAAAAAGCACTGATGTATTGCTCCAGTTTTTCCAGAGCCAGTAACTTACACCTGACCGGAGGCACTGTACCGACTTTGATTCTACCGTGCACAGTTCGTTCCTGGCTCACACGGTACTCTGCCCAACTGATCGAATTCCAACTGTCCCTTCCTGAGCACTCAAGGCTTACTGCCCAATCGCCACTGTCGACCGCAGCATCTGTCACTCGAAGGCCAGTTTCGCGCGCGCGTGTTTAGCTCAAGTAAGAAACCGCAACTCATGCACGCTCCAGTGATTCTAGAATCTTAATCAATGTGCCAGTTAAGTGATTTTGGAGCTTCGCAAGAGGTGGTGAACTGGCTCCACAGTAATGATAAGTTAGTTACGTCACACGCAGCCTCTTGACACCAACAGAGATTTCTGTGGAACTTTGCCGAAGGACACATAGATCTACTAGACAATCTTTTGGTTTAAAGTTTCTTACACCATTCAGTAATTAGCTCAGGATCGATCCTGAGATGCAGTATTCGAGAGAGAATAGAATCGTTTCAGGTACTTGTCAAGCTTGTCAAGTTGGCCATAATGAGAACTCGGTATTTGAAGAACAGAATAGTAGTTCAAGTACTAATTCTCATGGTTTTATCAGTTAGGGCTTGTTGAAATTATCCTGTCCATCACACTTGCTTTCTGCGAACTTAGTAATGAGTTGCGTGTAATGAACCATAAACCATTTATAGTGTCACAGAATGATTTTGAATCCTAATGTTGAATTCGGAAAATCATTATTTTTTATTTTTTATTATTAGTGAACAAGTCTTAATGCATCTAAAATGTCTGTTACTTTCAAGAATGAAGACTAATGGGACAAAACTTAGATGGACAAGAGGATATTAGAATTGAGAATTAGTGGGAACATAATTCATGTTAAGATCCCTTGTAAATTCAGTTGTATTAATATCTATCCATATGCTAAAGTTCTAAAGGCTTTTTCAGCTCACATTTTGACTAAAGATCATTGCAAAGTAGTGATTTTGTTCAGGAGGTGTCTATATATATATATATATATATATATATATATATAAATATAGAAAGTGAGAGAGAATTGTTGGTGCTACATCTCCAATTGATATTGCTACACCTTATTTTATAAAAAATAGGTTCAGAGCCGTTTTTTGCAAATATATTAATTGCCACAAAAATTGTTAAATTCAAAATTATGTTTATATTTTTTATTTACTTGTCAACAAGACAAAAATCTTATTTTTAATTTATTCTATTTTGGGGTCATGCATGGGGTAATATTATTGGATTGATAAAGGCGCCCTAAGAGTAGAAGGGCGCCTTGTAGTCAATTTAAGTTACAATTATCTTTCTCTCCCTAAAATTCCAACCAAAAACTATGGTTCGTTGTTATAAACTTAGAGCATTAATTCAGAGTAAACAAAAGATTTATTCAGCCTGATTTCTTTCAAAAGAAAAGTCAAAATCAGTTGAAATGTTTAATTGATGAACACCAAAGTGTAGAACCAACACATTTGAAGCATGGAAGAAAAAAAAAAGCATTGACAACAAACATTCCAGTTACAGGTACAGTGTGTGTGTGTGTGGGTGGCCCCAATCGGGTTACAACAGTGTCAAATATTGAAGCGGTTTTCCGCTGTTCAGTGGTCTCTTTCTTTTAAAATCTCTCACCTCAACCAGCTCCCTAGGAATGACACGGTGGGTCACTAATCGTTGTCCTCCGTCAGTGGCAAATAAATTCCCCTCCTCTTCCAAGTAATTCTAAGTGGGCCTCCGTCCACACGAACCTGCTGTAAAACTTTTTCTCCAATCTGGACAACCAAAAACCATTCTTCGTTGGTCTGTCTTTGAAACATGGCACGCATAATTTCGTATTGATAGCAGCATTCCTCCAGGCTCCTCGTCGGCTACGTGCACACTGCGCTGAAGTGCGACGCAATGGATGAGAGTTTGCTCGAAGAAGCCGCTGCAGTCGAAGAAAAATCTGGTTCCTTTCAGTGACAAACACAACTCAGCAGGTACCCATATATCATGATTCAGTTCCTTTGAATCATGGCTTGGGCTGGACTCCGGCTCATCGTATCATAGGGCTCCATCAGATATCATGGCTAAATTTACCTTTTGTTTATTTTCATAATGGAAAGCGGAAGATGATGTGAGAATGATCAACGGTACTTCTAGACCACCCAAGCGTTTCTCCAAGTGTAAGCAGCATGGAACTGAAAGGTCCTCATCGCCAGCTCCTGAATGAACTTGGCGCTATTCACCGTATGTGTGTGTGTGTACCATGTAGTCTCTACATTTGACATGTGCTCAGTGTCGCTGAGACTACCCAAATTGTAGGTCTTGGGCTACCGGGCACACGCAGTCAATTCGAATGATCACGTAATACAAAAGTTAAAGCAGCGACCACAGAGACCGCGTTAAAGCGAGCTCAAACGTCAGCACGCGGGACAACAGGGTCTGACGAGAAGCTGACCTGGTTTAAAAGTTCTCTAGTTCAATCTACTCCTCCCCACAATGGCAGAGAGTTTTGTCCTGAGCTATCGTTTATCAACTGACTCAGGTTTCTTGATGATATCTCATGTGGCAAATCAAAGGCTCCTACTTTCAGCCGTCTGTACTCCCACAGTTCCAGACCCCAAGGCACATCATGCGTGTACATGCAAGCTGTTGGGGATGGTGTCAAAAGCGTCTACGGATTCCGGACATTACAAATGCTCCCTCGTAGGGTACGCCGCAGAGCGAAGTCTCACAGTTCTGTGCTTCCGTGTAGCGAGCACTACCAACCTTGAAGTGCACATTTGTGTGTCGATTGCTTGTTAACTCAACGTCGACTCTGATCTCTAGCTTCTCGAGGATTCAACTCTGCAATCGCAAATTCACCGCTGTGTTGAAGCTCAATCGCCCCTCTTCCAACAAATGGTGTTAAGCCGAGGCTTCACAGAAGAGTGCAACTGGGTCATGTCCACATTTCGGCGTCGAAGAAAACCAGATGGGAGTTAGAATCTAAGCCTTCGGAATACACCTTTCTGTGGGTACAATTGTATACGTATGTTTGTGTGTGTATTGCACTATATGGTGCCCTCTGACGATCGAAAAGAGGAAATCATTTCTCCCACTTTTGGAAGATAAATCAAATGAAGTCTGATGGCGATAAATTCTGCACCTATACAGATGCCATGAGGCCCATGACCCCTCACACTTTCATGCTTCCGGAGAACTGCAGAAGCAGTGGAATTGAGTGGGGTGGTTGAGCTGGACATCTGTCCTTCAGACTCTAGTAAAATATTCAGTAATTAAGAAACACATTAACAAACAAACATGCTTCTCCCTCTAAAAACGTTGCACCAATACATGTTCAAATTTTGGTTTTCTTAAGTTTATTTTGATAGGGAATGTTAGATTATTAAAATTTGTTCACTATTTGATCAGTGGCACCTCCTTCCATTCAGAGTGTTGGAAAGTAAAAATACACTCTACATGTTTCTTGGCTTAATTTCCTCGAGTGTGGGATGGGGGAGTATTCCATCCATCCACCCAGCGCCCCTCCCTTGTTTGCGCTTCAAGGGAGCCCTGCAAAAAGGTGGATCAATCGCAACACATGGGTCACATACATACATACAAACAAAACAAAAATATAAAGAAACATACAAACAGACACAGAGAGAGAGGGAGGGAGGGCGCCTCCATCGCGTGTAGGGTGCGGTGAGGTCAGGAACAAATGGAGTAAGCGGCAGGGGGCAGGACATCCGGTGACGTCGGCGGCTGCGGTGGGTGACGTCAGCAGCCGCGGGGATGTAGCTCAGATGGTAGAGCGCTCGCTTAGCATGCGAGAGGTATGGGGATCGATACCCCACTTCTCCACTGCTTCTATAGCTCAGTTGGCTAGAGCACCCGTTTAGTAAGCGGGAGGTCCTGAGTTCAACTCTCAGTGGAAGCAGCGCCTTTTTGCCGCCCATATCATGGTCGGAATCAGATTCCATTTGTAAAAATTTGGTTGTTTAGTTGTTTACTCCATAGTGTAATCAGGACTGCATTGGAGTTTTGGAATTAGTTATAAATTCAATAAAATGAACCAATTTTTTTTTTTTTTTTTTTTTAATTATTTGTCTCATAATACAACCTTTATATTATACTACTTGCAAGTTAGGAATCAAACATGATTAATCATTAAAAAATATTATTATCATATTTTAAAAAGCAGTGACCAAAATAAAATATTAATAAATTAGGATCATTGTTGAACCACAATTTTCTGTTTACCTATCCAATATTACATCTTTGTTAATTTTCTATCAAAACAAGATTCAATACTATTTTTTTTATTGGTTGATTGTATGAACCAAGAAACATGTAGAGTGCAATTTTAATATATTATTAGTGCCCTTATTTCTCTCAAATAGTGAAACTAATGTTTCTTTTTTGGAAATAGCCTTTTCTAAACTAGTTTTCAGAGATACATGTTTTTTTTCTTTACATGCCAAAATTTTATTTATTCTTGTATATATGTATTTTTTTATGTATATGTATATCTATTTATTGTCCTTTTATTATCCAATTTCTGTAAGAGGTTTCCATTTATACAACTTAATGTTAATAGCTTACACAACTTATCAAAGAATGGACCTAAGGATGTTGCACTTAATACATTTTAGAAATTGATAGAGTCTTTAAACTTGTAAATTAAAAAATCAAAAAAATCAATATCCTAATATGATCAAATTAATAATTAATCTAAATTTAAAAAATCTAAATAAAATTATAGCTTTAATATATATATATATATATATATATATATATATATATATATCATTAAATTATTTTAAAATAGTATGTTAGTCTTGGTTCTTAAGTTGGT